GATACCTATTGACCTTAATGTGATAAGGCTGCTTCACGGATGTTCGCTTCATGGATTCAGTTTCAGTGTTGGATTAAAATTCTTTGGAAATAATAAATAGCGAGGAAAAATGACATGTAATTATTTTCTAGTTTTAGAAACAGTGTTAACATATGATGCTCCAAATCCTGCTCCACAAGAATCGTCAGTTAGCCCACTTCTCTGTGCAATCGCAAACATCATGAATGAGGAAATTCCAGAGTAGCACTGATCACCCAAACCTTATATAGATGTTTGCATGAGTAAAGATAAAAGATGAAAAAGGGATTTGGAAATAGATAACAGAGAAGAAAAAGAAGTGAAATAGAATATATCTTAGTGGCCCTCTATGTTTAGGTATTGGAGAAAAATTTCAAACGTATTTATTAAATATTTTTAACTCCTCCACATATTCCTCAATTCAAGGAGGAAAGGTAAAATGGCATATTTTCCTTTTCATCCTCCCTTCCCTTTAAAAAAAGGCCTGAACCAAGTAAGCTGAAGGTCATTAGAAAAGAAAAATCAGAAGAGAAAAGCAAGTGCGATAACATTGTTTAAGAAGAAGGTTATATAGTGCTAAAAGTAATGGGGATTCACATTCAAAGATGCAAATAACTGAACACAAAGATCGCTAATACAGTCTAAGTGGTAAACTCTAATTTGACATAAAATTCATGAAAAGAGAGTTCAATTGCATTGAAGTTTGCGGCAATCAATCCTGAGATATTATTATCTAAAAAAATCTCAATGAAGAAGACTTGAGACTAACAAAGTAGGGCAGTGAAGAGTTTTCTTCAACATCAAATTTATTCCAAAAATTATTCGAACAAGCAGTTTTAGAATTTTAAAATAAATGAACCAAATATGAATCAAATGAAGTGCATCTCCTAAAACAAAGTGCTGGTAGTATCAAATTAGATATTAAGTTCCAAACAAGAATTAACATCTTAAAATACCTTTCAACCCACTCCAGTGTACCAACAGACACCTTTTTCTCATCAATGGTCGCCACCGCACCAGACCCAGGTTCCTCTGTAAATGTTCCTTCTTCTGCCTAAAACCACAATTTTTTGTAAGAAATTTAAAGTTTGCTTGGTAACAAACTGATTAAGGAGAAACCAGCAAGCTATTAACAGTACATCACACTCAAAATTGATCACAGAATGGAATTAGTTTATATTGTGATTGATATTCCACATTATGTGATACCTCACAATAAAGAAGGGAGAGACAAATGTGACATACAAAATATATATATGGTCATTGATATATGCTAGACTTGAGCAATATAGAGAAGCATTTTCATCCAAGAGATCAATCAAGAACTTGGCAACGTGGAAGTCTAGAAGTAGGATGGTACATTTTCGTCATTTTCCCACCAAAATCAGTTATGTTGGCTGAAGCATTTATCTATGAAATGTTCAGTTTTCGCTTTACCCCAGACGTGGAGGATTTTAGACTACAATTATACGAAAGGGTTCCACTGTGCGAACATACTGTAAGCAGTGCAGCTAATAAACAATGCCATTGAAATCTAGTAACTAGGAACTGAACACTAAACTGGAACAAGTCACAAAAATTTCAAATATTAA